AGTATCAGTACAGTAACCAGCAGGTAAAGGAAAGCTGCCAATGCATACTTGCGATCTGAAGCTTTTTGATCATGTGACCATTGTGACTTCCAATCACAGCTGTCACGATTGGATTGCCTGCCTCTGCCTCCTGGAATTTAGAACCTGTTAAAGGGCCAAGAGGTAGCTGCGGGAAGGGGTTAAAGTGTTACTAAACCCACAACAGTAAAATCAGTCTGTATATGCAGTAAAGCATGCTTGTTATACTCACTGTGGTACCTAAGGGGTTAATCCTCAGCATTGTGTAAAAAGGCTGTTTGATCTTGACTTCTCTGATCCTCCCCTTCTTCCAGTGTCCCCCTCTTATCTCCCCATGAGACATATCATGTGCAGTCACTCTGCACATGCTAATTTTGTTGTGTATTGCTAGAGAGGTTTTTTTTTCTTGGGAGGGTGCATGTGATCAGCACAGGACCAATCAGCACTGTCTAGGTCAGGTCCTGCATCCTCCAAGAGCAAAATGAAAACTCCTTTTGCAAGCTTTACCAGTGCTCTGCTGGACAAGGATAGAAATCACAAGATTGCTATATACTGCGGATTAAAAAAGAAGGTATTTAGTAGTTTATATTTACTAAAATAATTGCACTTCCATGTTCTGTGTACTGTGGGAGACCAGATAGAGTGGATGCAGGGCCCTGTGTTTAGTAACACTTTAAATTGATTAATTGTTGCTAGTGTCGGTTGTGTGTCGGCAGTGTCTCATGTTGTTGCAACACAAGGCACTGTATATGTTTAGCTTTCTTTTTGTATCTTTATTAAAATGTGAAAGTGACAATTCATTTATTTCTGTAGCTCTGCTGTGGTACAAAGACAGATGGTGACTTCTGATCTGTTTGGTGAAAGTGCTGCATGTTTGAATTTTTCCGCGAGACACCTGCAAGTAGCCTTTCAGCATGAACAGGACACACAGAAAACAATTGTTTTCTATGTTCCCTCGTGGTGCGTGGTATTAATCAATGAAAGAAAAATACTAGTCACTGCACACAGTATGAATGAACCTCCAAAGCCCAACTCTGGGGTGAAAAACAACCCCTGAAGTGGGGTCCCTCCACACTGCAAAGGGTAAGTGCTCAATAAGTCTATTTTGCAGTAGAGATCAAATTACTTACCTAAAGCAGGCCATACATGGATCGAATTCCAAATGTTTTTTCGATTGAAAATCGGAAACATTGTCCGTTCTGTAATCCGATGGTGCCACCAATGATTTCGAAAATAGTTCGATTTTCAAGAATTTTACAGCATGCCCGATAAACGAAATGGGCAGGAACCATGAAAATTGGCCCCACTAACAGAGAGAAAATCGGTCGATTATTCTTAGGTCCAATTTTCGAACAAAAAATAGTTCGGAAATCGACCCATGTATGGCCGGCCTAATTCCTCTCTCCAGCAGGTTCCGGAGCTCTTCCCTCTCCCTGAAGGTCCGGCCTGTAGTGATCCCCCAGTACCCTGTATTGTACAAGGTGGAGGCAGGAGAGTGACTGTGGCTAAAGCAGCTTATAGAGTCTGCCGTGGACTGGTTGTTTGCTAGAGCAAGGAGGAGGCAAGTAATACAACCTTTCTAGACTGAGCTCGGGTTCACACTGATGCGGTGCGGCACATCGCATTCTGTGCAAATAACATGCGATTTCTGTGCGGTGCAATTTGAGCCATACATTTTGTATGGATCAGATCACACCGCATCCGCACCAAAATAGTGCAGGACCCTTTTTTTTCTCCGCACCAGAATCGGATCGCATGGGTATTCACACCTATGCAATCTGATTTTGCACATCGCACCGCAAACCGATTTCGGAGTGTTGTTAACATACACACCCACAGCAGTGTGCATGAATGGGGCGCGATCATGCTGCGGTGTGGAAATCGCACAGAAACCGGTGCGAATTCTGCACAGCATCAGTGTGAACCTGGGCTGAATGATCATTTAACCTTTGTGAGGGGGGTTTTGTGCCCAGGGTTGGGCTTTTTTTTCAGCGCACCTGGAAAACTCCCCTGCCTCCAGCCTGTGGTTGGACGGTGAAGGAGCAGCAACAGATTGATGGGGTCACCTCTCTGATCTTCTATGCATTTTTTTTGTCAGCATCAGATTGGTCACAATGGCTCCCCCTTTCCTTTCTCAGTCTATGGGATTCAACAGGTATTTTTTAAGATATGTTCATATGTTTTTTTTTCTTTTAATATCTGCATAGAGTTCAGCTTTAACCCTTTGAATATTTTACCTATAAAGCTCCTTTTATTTACCAGATGAGCAATCAGCCACTCCCATATGTTGCATATAATACACTCCTAGCCACTTGTACCTGCAGTTACTTGTTCAGATAAATAAAGGAGAACGAGTTTGGGTGTGAATGTGGATTCACAGAATATCTTCAAAAAAATCTCTGAAAGAAGCTAAGGGAAATTAAAACATATCTAAACCCAAGAACAAAAAATGAATGTATTGCAGCTTGCCTGTCCTTAGATGTAGTGGCTGCATTTGTTTTTTTTTTCCCTTTTATTTTACCATGGTAATCTTGCCAGTAACACACGTCCTGTACTAGGGTGGCCACTGTATTGAATTTAGGAGTATTAGGAAGGCCACCTTAGGAAGGGAGTGTGTTTGGACTATATAACATCTACTCTCTCCATACCTCAGGGGGAGGTGTTTTGTAGTCCATAAAGATAGTGGGGAACAATGCTAAATGATAACTATTTACAGAAGAAGAAAGAAAAGAAAGTTATCAGCCTACAAGTAGAAATGAGTTCCAATGTGCTTTTAACTCATCTCTAGCTGAACTTGGACCAGTTTTTTTTACTTTAAGCCTGGGTGCACACTGATGTGGTGCAGAATTCGCACCGCATCACAATTGCACCTCGTTCATGCAAACCGGTATGGGTGTGTATGTTAAGTTAATGACACACCGAGATCGGTTCACAAAACGCGGTGCGATGTGCAGAACCAGATCGCATGGGTGTAAATACCCATGCGATCTGATTCTAGTGCAGACCAAAAAAAGCGTATGTGGTGCGATTTGAGCAAATGTTTGGCTTTAATTGCACTGCACAGAATTCGCATGTGATTCGCACAGGAACCGCACTGCATTCACAGGGGCAATCCAATCAGGTCCAACCTGTCAGTTTTTCAGGCAGACCTGATCAGAAGGTCCATGCATTCCTATGCACCGATCCGGTCTGCTGCAAAACAACAAAAGGGATCCAGCCTCTTCCATTTAGAAGGTTTGGGGAGTAGTGGATGTAAATAGACAGCTGAGTTTGTTTACTCCCAGCCACCCATAGAGCAGCAGCAGACAGAAACTGAGTGGACACGGATGTATCAGCCACCCACTCTGCTCTGATTAGCAGAGGATCCCCAGCTGATAGGAACAGGAATTTGCCCTATGTTAATTGAGACTAACGAGCTCTAGTCTGGGTCATTCCTGCTCTGAAACTCACGCAAGTTCACAGCTATGTGTGTTGCGATTGATGCATTCTGGCATATTTTGCTTTTATTTTGGGCCAATAGGAAAGTATTGAGTGCGACTTTGATGCAACTTTGGATGGTTGCGACTTTGACGCTACTTGAGTGCCAGAGAGTGAAAAGTTGCATCAAAGTGACAGCCATCCAAAGTCGCATCAAAGTTGCACCCTCCAAAGTCGCACTCAATACTTTACTATTGGCAAAAAAAAAATGTAAAGCACATCAAAATTGCAACATTTGCATTTTTGGTGCAGTTTCACTGAAGTCTTTTGCACCAAAAACGCAATCTGCTTTGGAAAAAAAAAATGTGCCTTATCCTTTCTAAAAAACACAGCAGCTAAAAATGCATATATGTGAACGTGTCCTATAGCAAACCATGTTAAACGGACTGTAGTGCATTTCTGAAAACTGAGAAACGCACTGAAAACCACAAGGGTGAACCTAGAGCAGCTGTGCGGTGGTAATGACCAGGCCCGCAGCTCACTGGAGTAAAGAAAAAAAAGAGCACTAGTTTGGAATTCAGCTAGAGAGGAGTTCAGAGTATGCTAGAGCTTGTCTCTACTGATAAGATTTCTACTGAATCACTTCTTCTTTTGCACATGTCAAATAGATATAATAAAATGCTTTCAATGGCATATTTAAAGTGGAAGTAAACCACCGCATCAAATGCGGTATATGGCAGACTTGCCTGCCATGCGATCCCTTCCAGAGCTGCAGTATCAGCATTCTCGGTTGTCACTGGAGCTTCAGTCTTCTCCCGGCTTTCGGACCCTCTTAGACTACTTGATTAGCTGGGCCACAATGACTACACTCCCACACATGCCTACAGGCAGGGTTCCTACACAGGTTGCTAGGGGTTCCTCGAACAATGAGAAATTCTGCCTCTCAGATAAGTTTTCACTGATACCATCGGTTGTTTTAGCTATCTGTAAAGAGGGAATTCTTCCCAAAGACCACAAGTGTAAGGATCCTTTCACACCGGCTTTTGTTTTTTTTTGTTTTCAAAATCGAAGCTAAATGGATTAGGACTTCACTTTTTACCTACATTTTCATATCCGTTTACATCTATTTTTTCATCCGTTTACATCAATTTTGTTTTCATCTGTTTACATACGTTTTTCATTAGTTTACATCTATTTTTCAGTTGTCTGGGGTTTTTTACAGAAGAAAAATAGATGTTAACGGATGCGGACATTGACCGCTTCCCAACCACCATATAGCAGAACTACTGCTAGAGGGTGGTAGGGCTGCGCAAAATCATGTATATATATATATATATATATATATATATATATATACGTGTGTGTGTATATATATATATATATATATATATATGTATATGTGTATATATATATATATATATACATGATTTTGTATTTCTGGGTGGGGGGTGGCTAGAGGTGTCGATCACTGGGTCCCGGCTGGAGATTCCCTGCCAGCACCTGCCGATCGCTGACGAACACTGACAAGGGAGAGATCTGTATGTAAACAATACAGATCTCTCCCCTGTCAGCTGCAGCATGCTTTGTTTTGCTCTGCATAGTAGAGCAATACAAAGCAGCATATTTAAAACATAAAACACACACAGCACACATAATAAAACACAACACAGCACACAGTTAACACTTTGATCTCCCCAGATGTTAACCCCTTCTTGCCCAGTGTCATCAGTACAGTGTCAGTGCTTTTTATTAGCACTGATCACTGTATTAGTGTCACTGGGGATATCAGTGGCAGTTAGTCCGTGTCAGTTAGTGTTAGAATGCCCGCCGCAGTCCCGCTATAAGTCACTGATCGCCGCCATTACTAGTATTCAAAAAAAAAAAATTCCAGCATATATAACGCCATTTGTAGATGCTATAACTCTCATGGAAATTTATTAATTTACATGTATTGGGATTTTTTTAGCAAAGACGTGTAGCGGAATACATTTTGGCTTAAATTTATGTAACGAAATTTGATTTTTTAAAATTTTTTGTACTGGATATGTTTTATAGCAAAAAGTCAAAAATATTGTTTTTTTTTTCAAAATTGTCAGTCTTTTATTGCTTATAGCGCAAAAAATTAAAAACCGCAGATGCGATCAAATACCAGCAAAATCTATTGTGGGTAAAAAAGGACGTAAATTTAATTTGGGTGCAGCATTGCATGACCACGCAATTGTCAGTTAATTGTATCGCAAAAAATGGTCTGGTCAGGAAGAGGGAGTAAATCCTCAAGAGGGAAAATGGTTAAACATGGTATTTGTGTGTTTTTTTATTTTTCTCGCTTTAAAAAAAAAAAAACCTGACAATTTTGAGAAAAAAAAACAAATATTGTTGACGTTTTGCTATTAAACATGTTCATAAATTTAGGCCAAAATGTATTCTGCTACGTCTTTGCTGAAAAAAATCCCCATATGTGTAAATTAATTGGTTTACGTGAAATTTATAGCATCTACAAATGGCAGTATATATACTAGAATTTTTTTTGCGGCGGGCATTCTGACACTGGACAGGAACTGACTGACTGTCACTGACATCTCCAGTGACACTAATACAGTGATCAGTGCTAATAAAAAGCACTGACGCTGTACTGACACTGAGCAGGACAGGGTTAACTTGGGTGATCAAAGGGTTAACTGTGTGCGGTTTTACAGTGTGCTGTGTTTTACAGTGTAAGAATGCTGATTTGTATTGCTCTGCTATGCAGAACAATACAAAGCAGTGTGCTGGAGCTGACAGGGGAGAGATTTCTATTGTTTACCTACAGACCTCTCCCCCGTTAGTGATACTCAGCGATTGCGGGGAATCACCAGCCGGGACCTGGTGATTGACAGCTGAAGCCACCAATGGCGGCGCGGGTAGGGCATGTGTGCAATATCACACATATATATACATGTGAGTTTGCGCAGCCGTGCCGCCCTGTAGCAGTATTTCTGCTAAAGGGTGGAGGGCAAGCAGTTAGCAGATGTAAACAGATGATCATCTGTTTACATCAGTTAGTCCATAGAAATGCATGGGTGTCTGTTTTTCATCCATAAACGGACTGCTGAAAAACGGACATACGGAATGCCCGTGTGAAAGGACACTAAAGAGCATTTCTTCCCACTGACCATCACACTAATGTATCATGAGCTGTAGATATAGTCACTTTTAGCAGAGATTCCCTGAGACCAGAAAGTTATTTCAAGGGTTCCTCTGTGTTGAAAAGGTTGAGTACAGGAGTCGCATCATCACGGCACAGAGCAGTGCTGTACATGTACGCTGAGCTATGCCTGAATGCAGGGCAGTGGATAAGGGGGTATTTCCAGTCCTCCTGTACGGGGCCCAGGCAGCTGGGTGAATCGGATGTGGGCAGGAAGGGTGAATGGGGAGATTACTGGAACCAATCCCCTGTATGGCTCTCCCTGCAGCAGCTGAAAGCTGGGTTCTTCTCCTCTCCCCCCCTGGCTGGCTTTCAGCTGCTGCAGAGATAAACATACAGGGGATCAGTTCCAGTAATTTACTAGCCCCTTCCATTCCTGAATGAACACAGCGAGTGATTGCTACTGATCACTCACAGTGTTCATTCATAACTGGAGCACAGTGCGTTTTTTTGTGGGGATCGGGGAGGCCCTGTTAGGTTGGCTGTATGGGGCCCTGTGGTTTGGGCTGTCAGGTTAGCTGTAAGGGGCCCCGTGGTTTCTAAAAGCAGCCCTACCTGCATGCCTCAGTGTACATAAATGCTGGCAGACAGGGAGAAGAGTTTATAAGAGAAAAGACCAACAGGAGTCTCTCCTGTGATACAAAACCTACCTGTCAGCCAGTTTGTAATTATTTGAGCTTAATTCTGCTTTGCTTTATTCTGCTTTTTTACGTACACTGTTAAGGTAAGTGATTGGAGCGAGACGTAAGTTGTGTTGTATGTAGATGGTAACACCTCCACTCAGACACTGAAGCACATCACACACATTGCTTCCTCTTCTGACATTTGGCCCCCACCCACCTGTGTTCTCAGGCAGATCTCTACTACAGCCATTGAAAAGAGGAAGACGCATATTTCTGAAAAGGGAACAAACACACACGCTGCTGCGTTGCAGGTGATGAGTGCTGGGTCCTGGCCATGCTTAGGAAATGGTCTTTGGGGAAAAGTCTGATGGGCTTTTCCTGTTCCTAGTACAAGGATAACTACTCCAGTCCAGATTTGAAAGTAAGTGATCCTTTGCTTTAAGATCAGCAGCTTTTATTGACTGATGTGCTTGCATACATAGTATGACTGCTTCATTTTTACCATAAACTGACCTACATTCAAAACAATGGTTTCAAAGGAGATATTAACCAAGGTTGAGTTTAAAATCCTATTTTAAACATTTATATTACTCTACACACTTAGGATACATTAAGATACTTTGTTATTTTAGTTGTTGGCTTTGAATATACTTTAACCTCCAGTTTCCTTTGTAATCCAGATTGAAGTTCCTTTAATTTGCAACTTCCTTTGTTAATCCTCATGCACACTGGATGTTTTGATAATGCTGGTAACATTAGCTGTGTGAATTTTTTAGCATTTTTGCATTAGTGTTTAGTGGTGATTTCCTGTGTTTGCATTTTTTAGCTGTTTTTTTTTTTTTTTTTCCCCCCCAAAAAAAATGTTGGGGGGTCATTTAAACATCCAAAAACACCAGTTTGAGGCGCTTTTGTGTTTTTCAGCATTAGAGTGTTTTTACAGCTATAAAAGCTCATCTGTGTGCATGGACACATAGGCTAACATGCTGGGGAGCTTGCTAGCTGTAGAAAAAAATGTCAAAAAAAGCAGCTGTAAAAATGTCACGTGTGCATGAGGACTGATACAGATTGAGGATACTTTGCACCAGGGGCGGACTGACAACTCATGGGGCCCCCGGGCAATAGGGGATCATGGGGCCCCTGTGTCCTTGCTCAAACTCAAGAAAACCTATGAAAAAGGTACCAGAGGCATCTCATGGGGCCCCCTACTGACCCCGGGCAGTGTCTGAGTTTCTAAATGGTCAGTCCGGCCTTGCTTTGCACACAGGTGTTGCTTAAATCATTCCTTAAACTGGCAATACACTGTAGGACTCATTTAGGGCCAGTTCACACTATAGAAATGCAGTCCAGATGCATTTTTGCATGAGCGTTTCCAGACGCGTTGCAGTGTGTTTTTATGCATTCCAGTTAATTTTTTCCTCTCTCTTTTTCTTCAATTAAATAGGGACATGTTCGTTCAAGTGCATTTTTGGTGTGTTCCAGCACAGTTCTGTGCAGAAAAAAATGCAGCATGTTCTACTTTTTTCTTCTGCAACTGGAACTGCAAGCACTAATATGAACTATGACATTGACAACCATACTTTCTGTGCGTTTTGGATGCAGAAAAGAGTAACTGAAGTGCATGTAGTGTGAACTGGCCCTTACACTTGCAGCCAGAAGAAGGTAAAAATAGGTGGTTGAGCCACGTTTTACCACCCCAATGGCTGCTCTTGTTAAGCAGCAAAGGCAGCCAGATGGGGTTGTACACTTGCCACGAACTGCATTGCTGCATTCAAGTGCATAGGGCAACTTTCCTGCCAGTGGTGTGTGATTCATAGGGTTTAAAATGAAATACCTCTGAAACTAATATCTATGAAAAGTGATCAAACGCAGCTTTTCAAAGGGGTGGCAAGGTCTGCCACAGGTGTAAACCTAGATTTATTTCTAACAGATTTCTCATTTCAAACTAACAGCACGAATGGGCGCATTCCTTGGGTTGGCTGTTGAATCCTGGCAGCAGTTGTCAAAGTATCTGTATGGGGGCTGCATCTGATTGGATGAACCCGCTGTTTTACTTTGTCAGACTGAGCAGGACTGGTAGGGACACCCACCAAGGAAACAGTAAGGACACAAATTTGCTCAGTGTATGGTTGACTTGGGTTCACTTTTGATCCAGAGAAGGAACAGACTGTGACATGCTAGTGCATTTGCTTTCTGTGTAAGACCCCATACATACATGCGCATTTTTATGCGTGTGCTCGGTGGTTGACACGCAGCAAGAGGATTGCGATTATTTTCTGTAGGGCTCTTTTGCACCTGTGTATTTCTCTTCTGTGTGTCTTGGCATAGAGGTTCAGGTGCTTATTTTTTGGTGCAACAATGCAGGTTTTTGGCCCCATAGACTTTAATGGGAGTGCATGAGAAATGCAGACATGCAAGTGTAATCCTAGCACAGAACCTGCATTCTTTCACCAAGAAAACCTTTTCTTCAAGCATTGAGGTGTTTTTTTTTTTTTTTTTTTTTGTTTTTTCCCCTGAAGCACCAAATAAATTGCTTAATCTGGAACTGCACAGCACCTGATCATCACAAACCAAAAACGCTATTTTAAATAATCTGTAATGTTCAAAGCAAACTCCCCCAGCCATCCATGTCTCCATGCTTTATGGAGAAATCATTTTGAAAAACATCCCCTGGCATTTCTGGCAGTAGCCATCTTGAGTAAGGGCAGATAATGCATCTATCATTTACTTCCTGGAATTCTTCTGCCCTTAGCTCAGTCATAGGCTGAGAGCTGAGAACCCTCTCTTCCTTCCTGAAGACTCCTGTGATATATAACCTCATTCGGCTAGGCGTGGAAAAACCAGGAAGTAACTGAAGAAATGTTAACAACAAGTAAATATGATATCCTTTCCGGTCTATTTACGAATGCTATCGGCATAAGGATTAAAAATAGTCCATGATTGAGAGAGTGAAGTTCCACTTTGATCCTGGGCTCACACTGATGCGGTGAGGCACATCGCATGTGATTCGCACAGGAACTGCAACGCATTCCTGTGCAGATCACATATGATTTCTGTGCATTGCAATTTGAGCCATACATTTTGTATGGCTCAAATTGCACCGTATTTGCACCAAAAAAAGTGCAGGACCCTTTTTTTTTA